CATCCTATAATTATGCATTTGGGTTTTCCTACCTAAATGCAGAACTTTACATTTATCCCCATTGAAATTCATTTTATTTGTTTTAGCCCAGTTTTCCAGCCTGTCAAGATCATCCTGTATCCTGTGTCTTCTACCATATTTGCTACTCCTTCCAATTTAGTATCATCTGCAAATTTATTAAGCATCCCCTCTATTCCTTTATCCAAATAATTGATAAAGATGTTGAACAAAACAGGTCCCAGGACAGATCCTTGAGGCACTCCACTTGTCAGTCCTCTCCAAGATGATGAGGAACCATTCACAAGCACTCTCATAGGATCCAAACCACATTTTACCAATTTGTCAACAAGAATATTATGTGGAACCTTATCAAAAGCCTTACTGATATCAAGATAAACTATGTCTACAGCATTCCCCTGATCCATGCTGGCTCTTAGTAATCACAGCTGTCCTTCCTAAATGCTCAAGGACTGTCTGTTTGATTATTTGTTCTAAAACTTTCCCAGGTATAGACATCAAGCTGATGGATCGGTAGTTACCCAGATCCTCCTTTTCCCCCTTTTTGAAGACGGGGACAACATTTGCCTGCCTCCAGTCTTCTGACACCTCACCTGTTCCCCAAGAATTCTCAAAAATAATGGACAGAGGCTCAGAAATAACACCGCAAGTTCTTTTAGTACCCTTGGATGCAGTTCATCTGGCCCCGCGGACTTTGTTTCATTTAAAGAAACTAGGTGTTTATGCTGATCCTAGGCTGCACCTCCCTTCCCGCATCATGTGTTCTGTTTTTGCCATGTTGAGCACTGTTTCCCTCGCAAGAGGAGACTGAGGAAAAGTAGGAATTGAGCAGTTCTGCCCTCTCTTCATCACCTGTTACAATTTCACTTTCCTGTCCCCACAATGGGCCTACCACATCCTTGTTCTTTTTCTTACTTTGAACATAAGAAAAGAAGCCTTTTTTGTTGTTTCTCAGTAGCCTAAGCTCATACCGAGCTTCATCTTTCTTAACTCTCTCTACAAGCACTGGTTATTTGTTTATATTCATCCTTTGTTATAAGGCCCACTTTCTAAATGAGTCTTTTTTATTTCTCAAGTCTTTAGAAAGCTGTTTACGGAGCCACCCTGGCTTCTTTAGGCTTCTCCTATTTTTCCTTCTTATAGGAATCATTTGTGATTCTGCCTTCAGTATTTGACTTTTAAGAAACTCCCATCCCTCTCCTTAAGTATTTCTGACCATCAAATTCTACTCATCATAACTTTAAAGTTTGTTAAACTTTGCTTTCCTGAAGTCCAACCTATATGTCTGACTACAAACAGCTTTTACCTTCCCCAAGACTGTAAATTCCAAAATTACATGGTCACTACAACCCAGGGCGCCCTGCCCATTACTTCCACCTCATCAACTAGTTCTTCCCTGTTGGTAAGAATCACATCCAAGACAACAGATCCCCTTGTTTCCCTCTCCACTTTCTGGAAAATGAAGTTGTCAGCCAGACAAGTCAGGAATTTGTTGGATCTTCCATTCTTAGCAGAGTTTGACTTCCAACAGATTATCTGGCTAATAGCCATTGGCAGACCTCTGTTCCATGCACTTAACAAACCCTTTTAAAAAGCTTTCTGAGCGAGTGGACATGGGCACATTTTGTGGCAGTGAATTCCATAATTTGACATTATTGTGGGGAATGGAGCACATACAGACTTCAGCAGATGGGGAGCAGGAACCCTGCCCTAACAAGGAGAAGGGGGTGTAGAAATCAGATCAGATTGGGAAGGACCCTGGCCCTCTTATGGAACAGAGTTATTGAGTTATTCACCCTTTCTTCTGGAGGTCAAGTATATTTTAAAATACATCATGGAATTAAGAAATGTAGTAATTTTAATATTGATGATGCAACAGTACTAACAAATTTGGAAAATGCTATATTTTAATGCTTCTAAAGTTTCCATTCCGGAAGCAGGCGTGGCAAACCACCTCTGTTTGTCTCTTGCCTTGAGGTTTTGTTGTAATTCGGCTGCAACTTGATGCCACCTTCCGCCACAGCTGCCAAAGTGAAAATACTTCCATTCTGCCATAAGGAGACTCATTTATAACATGTTCACACGTGAAAATAAAGCCCTATTCTAAGTCTGTTTGTTCCGATGTTTTCAAAGGACTTACTTCCTTATTTGCTATTGCAGCCTAAAAGTGCCTTTGAGCCTTCTGCTACATATCCATGTACTTATGTTATTGAGAAAACAAAACTGAAGTGATTTTAAAATTGAAGCTTCACCTAGTCAATGTAAAAGTTGCTATTCAAATTACAGATGTCAGAATGTTAAAAAATAGGGTACTGTGGGAAAAGGGCTAAAAGCGTGTCTTCCATTTCCAATTTGACTTCTTTCAGACGCGACACTGATCTTTGTTCACTTCCATGCTCCTTACAATCCTGGATTTACAATACTTTCCAGATACTTTTGGTTAGCCTCATTTTCAGGGTGCCCAGGAGACAGCCTTGCTAATTCCTTGTAATAGATTTCTTTCTTAAGGCGTTTGATTAAAAACAGAAGAGCAGTCATGATTTAAATAGACTTTAAGAGCTAAAGCATGTGTTGACACACTGGACGTTTACATCTGGAGTGTTACAGATTAATCAAAGTGCTGGAAAGTGGAAGAGCAAGACAGCTGTCAGAGCAGTCCTGGCTAGATCTTTTAATTAATTATTGGGGAAACACGGGGGTGGGGGGAGAAAATGAACATCCAGTTCCACTTGCCTGTGTGGTAAGAGACCCAAGTAATTGCATATACTTCATGAGACATTTTAGCATTTGAAATGGTGGTTGTTTCCTGATCCTATTTATTCATTTGGCTTCATTTATACCCCACTTCTCTACCCAGTGGGGACTGAAAGCAGCTTATACTGTTCTCCTCGCCTCCATTTATCCTCACCACAACCCATTGATGTACGTGAGACTGCGTGTGTGAGACTGGCCCAAGGTCACCCAGCAAGCTTCCAGGCAGAGTGGGAATCCCACCCTGGCTCTTCCGGATCCTAGTCTGGCACTTCAGCCTTTACGCTGCATTCGCTGTCATATTTGTCTATTCTCAGTCTGTCCTCAGTATGCATTTTACTCAGAAGCAAGTCTTACTGGGTTCAGTCAAGTTGCGCTCAGAGTTCAAGTGAGCTTTTGCTCAAGAAACTGTGCAAAGGAAGTTAGCTCATGAGCAAAGACGTGTCTTCTCTGAGTCAAGCCGCCAGCTTACTGTAGCTGAAGAAGTGAGCAGTGACTCATGAAATTTTGTTGGAATTGCAAGTTGCTTACACTTCAGTCATTACAGAGTTAAATGTTGTTTGTTAGGAAACAGGATGTTACATTACATAATGTATTCAACGGCGGGAAAGTTTGTGGGAGTTGTTTATCCTAATGAAGTGACCTGTAACCTTTGTATTGGTCAACTAACATCTTGTTTGTAGAAATGCTTTGATCTAGCATTAATATATTCACAAGTTTATGGCCCTTTGTGTGAACCAAAGCGGTAGTTCTCTCCTAGAAGTCAAGAGAGATAGAAAGATGTAGCTGTTAGCATTTATTACTGAGAGTAACAAGAAGTATGTAACCTTTTATTTTATTTCTTTTATCCAAAGTACCATACCCATGTTTTATTTTGTTTTATAGTAAAGATATTTTTCTTTTAATAAGTGTGACTCTTGTGTTTGCAATACAACCATCGACCTTGAATTAAGAATCCCAACAAATTTTGTTAGTCTTTAAGGTGCTACTGGACTCTTACTCTTTTCTGTTGATCATTTCCCATTGCTTTTATCTGAAGAGAACTGAGGATGTACTTACCTGTCCCACTGAAAATAATGGAAGAACTTTGGCAGAAACATGTCCTAAGCAGCACGATTCCACTGCTCACAGTTATGTGCACACAACTTTAATTGAAATCACTGAGACTTAAGTACACCAAAGCTCGGGCTAGATTGTTGTCCAGATAATGATACTACTTACTAACTACAAAGTTGCAATAGATTTAGTGATTGTGACGGAAGTTTCACTAGCCACAACTGACAGTTCTGCTAATGGCCAGGATGGGTGAGTCTGTACTTAGGATGACATGCTTAGAAATATGATGGCTGAAAGCAGGGGAAATGAATTTAGGGGGAGGACCATTGCTGTAAGTATGGCAGAAAAGAGCACCAAGGTTGCTACTTTGTCTTATTTGAAAATCTCATCCCTTAGATCAAAGCACCACATTTAATGTGGAAATGGATACCCCCCCCCAAATCTAAGGTTCCATAGAAAGCAATTGATGCAACACGTTTACTTGTGGTCAGTGCAGAATGCCAATTTCAGTAGTGGGGCAAAGAAAATTTAGTCAAAGAAATTCTTTCTTTTAAGTAAAAAACAGGAAAAGAACAAGAAGGGGGGAAAGCTCAAAATCGATCAACTAAAAAGAAAAGGGAACAAAAGTATATATAGACAAAAATATAACAGTGGTGGCAGATCTATACAGAAATTTCCATAAAAAGTTTCCAAATATCTAAAAATAAGTTCATATGCAATTGTTGTTTATATGCCATGTGTTCAAATATTGATAAAGTTCTAAGGTCCTCAATCTATTGATCTACCAGAGGTGGGAATTTATTTCTGCAGTGGTGTAGTCCAAGTCTTTTAGTTGTAGTAAGGGCACGGAGAGTGCATTTTCATTTACCATTGGTTAGTCTCCAAGAGATGGACAGATCATTTAAAAGTACAAAAGAATCTTCAAAAATCAATGAATATTCTAATACAAAACTGACAGAGCAGTAACTTTCTCCCAGAAAAACTGAATGACTGGACATGCCCAGAATATATGTTTAAGGGATGCATTCCATGAGTTACAACACCAACAGTCAGATGCTTTTACTCAGTCTATAGCCAAAGATGTTTCTATGGAAAGCTTGCATGTGGAATAGTTTTGTTAACCAAGGGCAGCTGCAAATCTGAATGCCACCTCCAGCAGAGAAAACTGGTCTGACTGGGAGCCTAACTGCATGATACAAGGCTTCCATGCTCGGAACTTCCGAGTTCCATGCTCGGAACTTAATTTCTAGGTGTGCAGGGGGTTTGGATCGGGACCATAGAGTGTGGGATTAGGTGGCTTAAACCAACCCCACCACCCTATGCTGCTTTCCTGACATAAAAAAAATTCCAGGAGCCATTATTTGACCTGTTGAGTAAACTTATGTGTAGCTCAAGAGTTTCAGATTGGGAAAATAGAATGGGGTGGAGGGGTTAAGCCCACCTCTCCCTGCCTACCATGGTCCCAATCTGAATCACATGCCCACATACACATAGCTGGTAACACAGGCCTCAGGGATGAACCGGGAAATAATGTGCCATGTTTTTACATCCCGGCCGTGTGATGCATACCCCCCCACCATGCAGATTTCCCATGCCTTTAAGGCTCTGTAACAGACATCTATCAGGTGATATTTTCTTCACTCACCGGTGAAGAACAGATATGCATGCTGAATTTCTGTCTATTATGTATTCATTATAAACAGACAAGGATGATTGGGGGCCTAGAGACCAAGCCCAATGAGGAATGGCTGAGGGACTTGGGAATCTTTAGTCTGGAGAAGAGGAGGTTAAAGGGGCAGCATGATTGTTCTCTTTAAGTATTTGAAGGGCTGTCACTTAGAGGAGAACAGGGAGCTGTTCCTTTCCGGCAGCAGAGGATATGACTCGCAATCAGGGGTCATTTCGTAGAAAAAGAGGTGCAGGAGCTTATTAGCATAACTTATTAGCATAACTTATTTGCATATGCCACACCCCCTGACATCACTGGAAGTGTGTCAGAAGGCAACACCCACTGCTCAGGCTCCAGTGGACTGTTTTGGATTGCTAGCTATTGGGGGGGGGGACATGCAGATCTGCCCTCACAGAGGAGGGAGAGCTTGTACCTGAATAAAACTTGGTCTTAAAGGTGCCACTGGACTGTTTTGGATTGCTAGCTATTGGGGGGACAGATGTGCAGATCTGCCCTCACAGAGGAGGGAGAGCTTGTACCTGAAGACAGGCCGGGGCTCTGCAACTTACCTGGCTGCTTCTTGCTCCTTGTGGCCTGACTGAGGGCTGCTGGGAGCAGGGGGCGGGGCTTGTTGCATGTGCCAACCCCCTGGATTCCTTACTGCCGGAGCTCCGCTCCTGTGTGCTCCTGCAGGAAATGACCCCTGCTCACAATAATGGATTTAAAGGTGGTACGGTACCAGATGAATATTAGGAAAACTTTCTTACAGTAAGAGTTGTGCAACAGTGGAATCAGGTGCCTAGGGAGGTGGTGAGCTCCCCCTCACTGGCAGTCTTATGCAGCATCTGGACGAACACTTGTCAGGGATGCTCTAGGCTGATCCTGCATTGAGCAGGGGGTTGGACGAGATGGCCTGTATGGCCCCCTCCAGCTCTGTGATTCTATGATTCTAGACAAAGCCCTGCCAGGGGGCAAAGGTAGCAGTCCTTTAAATCTCTATATTTATCTGTATCTTGTTTCTAGCTGATGCCAACTCAGACGATTTGTTTACATAGACAAAGCTGGATGCAAGCCACATCAATCTGTGTTGCAGCCAACACACTTCCAGATTTCCCCTATTTGAGAAATGTGTTGAGGACCTATCCTGGGTATGTGGGATTGCCAGTTCTCCAGATAGTTTCTGAGGTCTTCAGTAGAACAGCTAGAGATCAGCAAGAGAGTTCTGAACCTCTAAAGCACCACTGGGCTCAAATCTAGCAAATCTCCGGAGGAACTGGTCTCTGTGGCCTGGAAATCAATTGTAACTCTGGGAGAACGGCAGGGCACACCTGGAAGTTGGCAACCCTACAGGGTCGGGAGCTGGGGCCCTGGAGTCTCCCGGGGGGGGGGCAGCCCCAACCACCAGCGCAGCCCTGCCTGCGGCTGCCTGCGGAGCCTCCACGTGCCGGGAAGGGCGGGGGCGCCCCGAAGCGAGAGCGAGGAGCCCTGCTTGGTGCCCTGCTCTTGAAGGGATTAATAATCTTTTTGGCCTCGGAGAACAGCCCGAAAATCTTCCCTGCAAAATAATGAGCAGAGAAACATTTACTGATTAGTTTAATTCCGGATAATCCCCTCTGATGAGCATGTATCAAGATATTCTTTAACCGATTTATCGTCAAAAAGGCTCAGTCCGGGACGGGCTCTGTCGCTGGGCTTGGGGGCGCCTCCTCCCGTTCCCCGGCGAGGGGGGCGGGTAGGATGCAGACGATGCCGAGGCGTGCAGAAAAAGCCTCTCCGGAAAGCGTGCAAAGTGCAGGCCGGGTTGTAAAGACACACACCAGCCTGCTGTGAGGGGGAGCAGGGCTACGAATATGCTAAATAAATACAACCAACGGCTAGGAACGCGCACGCAAAAAATCAGGGTATTATTTTGTAGGCAGGTATGTAAGAGTTCCTCACGTCTGGCTGCAGACCGTCTTCGCTCCCGAGTGTCTCGCCCTGCGTCGGGCGCAAATAAACCACCCCTCTTTCTCGAGTGCGAGAGAGTGAAACATTTCTTTCCCTCTGTCAGTCGGCTTCCTCTCGCTTTTGAGGGTCTCTCTCTCTCTTTTTAATTTCATAAACTGATTAGAAGCAATTATAGATGCTTTATCCCTCCGCTTTCCAAATGCCTGGGCCATATGCATATTTAAGGCTTCATCATCCCGGCCAGGAGGAGCTCAGCATTTTAACGTAAACTGCTGAAATTAAGCTGATTCTGGTGCCACGTCCAAAAAAGAAAAAAAAAGAAAAAACCACCAGGGGAGGGGGGGGGGAATAGAGTTTTATCCACTAATATCTAGTCGGACAGGAAATTTGTTGTGGGTGGTGGCCGGATTACGGTTTCTAATTACTACACCAGATTTCCTCCCTGACGCTCGCAGCGAAAGTCCCTTCGCTTCAAGAGAACCGCAAAAGTCGGAAAGTGAATGGGATCAATCTAAGCCCCCTGTCGATCGAGAAGGGGAGGAAACGGACCGAAGTGCAAATGGAGACGTTTCATTCACATGTAACCCGGGGGGGGGGGCGCAACCGTGATCGGGGCGTGGCTCAGTCGCAGAGCACCTCCTTGGTACGCAGGTCGTCTCTGGTTCGGTCCCTGCCTTCTCCCAGTTAGAAGGCTCAGGTAGTAGTGGGTGAAAGGACAGGCCTCCTCCACCCGGGAGCCTGGGAAGCCACTGCTAGCGAGCGTAGACGAACACTGATCTTGACAGGCTGACACGGCTGCTTACCTGTGCCACGCGCGTATTACAGGTGGGGAGAAAGTCCGAGGCCTGACCCATGTCATGAAACGGTGCCGAGGCGCCCTCCCAGGGCCCCATCCCATGTCCCATGATCCCATCCCTTCCGAACGAGATCAGCCCTCCTCCTTCCCAGGAAAACTTTAAGGTTAAGCGGGCGACGAGGTGTCTACGGAGGGCTTGAATGAGGTTTATTTAAAACGGGGCTGCCAACTTTAACCGGTAAAGAAATCAGCTACAGCTTTAGTTAATTAATTATTGAGGGCCGATCTGACTCAACGGGACTGAAAGGCTATTTACGTTACGAAGATAGTCCCTGGAAATGCAGCACGGTCCAGATTTCTAAAAAGTTCGATATTAAAGATTTCCCTTCTTGCTAACAACTGAAGGGCGGGGTTGTTTTCTTTGTTGAATGAGGACATTAGCTTCCGGGTCTTTAAAAGGCACATACCCGCAGATTGGTACTATGCGAATTTCCATTGAAGTAATCCATCAAATCAAATATCTTGATCTCTCTGTTTCAACATAGAGTTGCCTGGCAGGAGAGCCCTGTCCGTCGTGTTATCTTAGCTGTCTCTTCACCGGCTATTTCCTGCCGCCCCTCCTTCTGCGCTGCTTCTTGGAAGTGTGCTGCGATTTTCTCCGTCTTGTACTTTGGGGTTAAGAAGAGGTGTTCCCAAAATCGCCCGCAGACTAGTAGCCTTTTAACTATTGTACCTTGCAAGCCACTCCCTCTTTCTTGATCTTTACTGACAACTACAAAACCAGAACCCAGTCATCATCATCAATCATCATCATCATCATTATTATTAACAACAACA